ATTTTTTCAAAGACCTTCCCCAGGATAGAAGTGAAGTTGACTGGCCTGTAGCTGCCAGGCTCTTCCTTCCTCTCCTTCATGAAAATATGGACCACGCTGGCCCTTTTCCAGTTCTCGGGGACTTGGCCCGAGCACCAGAAGTCCTCGAACAGCCAAGCCAATGGCTCCACAATGACATCAGCCAATTCCCTCAGCACCCACAGATGAAGGTCATCCGGGCCTGCTGACTTGGACACATCTAAGCCCGCCAGGTAATCCTTAACTAGGTCTGAACTAACAGTCAGGGGACTCACATCCTTCCTGGGCCTCTCTACGCTATCACCCGAGAGCACCCCATTGTCAGCAGACAGGAACATGGAGGCAAAGAACTTGTTGAAGAGTTCTGCCTTTTCTCGCGCGTCCATCACCAAGTGCCTTGCCCTGCCCCTCGTAGGGGTCCAATGTTACCCCGAGACTTCTTCTTGCTACCTATATACTTGAAGAAGGACTTTTTGTTATCCTTAATCCCAGAAGCTAATGTAAGCTCCAGTGCTGCTTTAGCCTTCCTTACCAAATCCCTACAAGCTCGGGTCAGGGAGGTGTACTCCTCCTTTGTCCCTGCCCCCTGCTTCCACCGCCAGTACACTTTTTTCTTTGCCCTCAGGCCAGCCTGGATATCTGCGCTCAGCCATGAAGGTTTCTTGAACCCTTTTCCCACCTTCCTGCGCAAAGGAATTGCGTCCTGCTGCGCCCCAAGGATAGCCTCCTTGAGGAAGGACCACCTTTCCTGGACCCCCATACTAGCTACACCCTGGGCTCCGAGTGCCTCCCTGACTGCCACCCTGAGCATATCGAAGTTGGCTTTCCTAAAGTCAAGCATTTGCGCTGTGCTAGTTACCCTCCCCCACCTTTCTCTGAATAGCAAACTGGATCATTTCATGATCACTGTCCCCTAGCCTCCCTTGTACTAGCACCTCCCTCACCAGGTTGTCCCCAGAGGCTAACACCAGATCCAGTATGGCGTTTTCCCTATTAATGTAGCTATATTACTCATCTATAATTGATACAGTACAAAATACTGGGGTATTTTTGGTTACAATACGGTATTGGGCCTTGGTTCAGGAACCAGTCCCCCATTTATAACATTGTTTCTTATGAGAAATTTGGTTCCGAGTTAAAACGTTTCGACTTAAGACATGGTTTTCAGGAACCAATTGTGTTGTAAGCCCGAGGACTGCCTGTATTAAATCAGTAGTGAAATAACTGGTAAAATAAAAATTCACTAGAGAAATAATGGGGAAAGAGTTGATTCTCACTCGCTGGCTGGATTCTTTTAAGATCAAAATACATTTATAGCTTCCCATGTCATATGTATTTTCACTTATGATTAAAAGTTACAACATACGTCCTTGATATCTTCCCAGAAAACATTAAGGGTGTATTAATGACAACACCCCAGAACCAACAACACACAAAAAGAAATCTTCTACCTATTTTGTCTCCAACCAAAGATAGTAAAAATTATGCATCTCACTAACCCATACTGCATAGTTACATGCTGAACATGTAGATACATACGAAGTGATTACCTGGGATCCTGGTTTTCTGTTAAAAAATTCAAGTCTCTGATAAAAAAATCTAACATTTTCCGATTAAAAACCCCCCAAATCCATGTTTTTTTGTGATTAAAATGAAACACCACTATATATAGGTAGCAGTTGAACACAATGTTTTATTGATATATTTACAATTTTAAAGTAATTTGGAAGCCTACCAGTGCCTCAATCATTATAATAAAATACTTTCTAAATATTTATATATTTTGGTGTTTGATTTTTTTTATCATGAGAACTCCCCCTACCCCCTTTGCTTATCAGGATGCAGGTCTAACTGCGGCTGTCCCGCACAATGCTTCATGGCGCTGAGCAGCCCTGATATGCCAGTGCCCTGCCCTTCACTCCCAACCTGCAGCCCCTCATCCCTGCCACAGCCCCTCACTCCTGATGTGCAGTCCCCTGGTTCTTTTTCGTTAAAGGGGAAAACCCATATTTTTATCCTTTAATGGGAGAATCCATGTTTTCCCACAGGAAACGGAAAACCCGGATCCCTGGTGATTACATTGCCATTTTGTAAAAAACGATGAAGAAGCCTTTTATCTGTATACAACCACATGCCTGGAGGCCAGGAACAGTGGGAGTAGTTTAACAAAACAAACAGCATCTGATGATTCTCAGCTGAGGGTAAAAATGACCTAAGCAACAGACATATTTTAATGACTATTACCAATTTCAAGATTCAAAAACTGGAAGAAAGTGCACATACTAAAAAACAGAATAGAAAACCTTATCTTTTGAGAAAGGGCTTAACTGAGAAACTAGTGCCTCTTACCTCCAGTCTGTGTATTGTAATAATATGTATGACCATCTTCAGTGACTCCTTCCACCCACACTGCTGTCTAATGAAAAAATACATAGAAGGTAAAAGTCCAGGAATGGGCTTTAATGACTAACCATGACATAGCTGACAAAGTGTAAAGATACTTAGTATTTTGTTAAGTTTTATAAATGGTTTTAGAACCTGATTCAACTCCCACTGAAGTTAAAAAAATCCCACTGACTGAAACATGAGTCGGACACATACCTTATAACATATAGCAGTATGCAGACACACTATATTTGTCTTTGCATATGCACATTCCATATAAGCAAATTGAATAATTCTTTTTCAATAGCAGGTGATTAGTACCAAGCACTGTAGTTAAGGTTGCCAAACAATTCAAATGATGATATAACCCATTACTTTTATGTTTCTGATTTTCTCACATAATTACACCTAAATTGATATTTTTCACACTTTATTTCAGTCCTGAAATTCTAAGCAATCTCTGAGAAAAATCTCACCGGCAGATTTAGAGTTTTATGACCGTAGGAAAAACCCATCACCATCAAACTTTATCCCAAATAAAAATAAACAACACACTTGTCTTCCTGCTATCTTTCTAACACACTTGAGTAACTCTACTAACATTACCTATTTCTCCTCTACTGAGCCCAAACCAAAACAGCTGCAGATGCTCCCTCTGCCTGAATGGTGTTTGTACCCAAAAGCTTGCAAAGACTAATTTTACTATTTTAGTTGGTCCAATAAAAGATACCAGATTTACCCAAAGAACCTTGTCTGCCTCCTGTACTGAGCAGCACTCTAGCCCATATTGTTATTCTGACATTAATAAAACGTCCTTAAAAATCACACGGTGGGACAAAAGCTCTGATTCAGTATAAAAACACTGCTTGTAAAATGGAGTCAAGAAATAAAAAAAGTTTAGATTCTCATAGCAACATGCTTTCACATGCCATATAGAAATGTACATGTAAGGTGATAAATTAAATCAGCTGATTCAGAGAAGGAAAAAAACTGCCCGCACATTTCCTCAAGATATATTTTGTAAATTTTGAGTGCATTAGTTTCAAGAAAAGTGACAAAATAGAAAGTGGTTTTACAGAGCTACAGATGAGATGAAAAAAACCAGCCTGAGGTATAACACAGTTCTTTCTATTAGCAGTAAAGTCTGCTTGGCATGGAGCATTCTTTGCCTGACCCCACAAAGCAGTGAAACAGATGGTTTCCTTTATCAGTAGTTCTGCTGACTGTTTTCACAGGCTGCTGGGTGTCTATCAGCATTTATATGGTCTTATCACAGTAGCAGCCATCCTTTAAGTACACAGTGCTGTGTTATTACTCCGCCCTGCTCACGTATGGGAGAACTAAGCAGTAAGCTAACTTCTTACTGGTTGTAAAACATGGATGGTCTCTGAAACTTACTAGTAACCCAGAATACTGCACATGGAGAAGGTAGGGTACAGAAATATAAACACACTGAAAATTGAGACTAAGCTATTTCTGGGGTTACAGTATTGTTGTAGTAATCCTTGCGGTCCAGGGAATATGCAAGAAACAAAGTTTGTTTCAAAACAGCTTTTACTGGACAACTGTATAGTTGGGAGAAATCTTAGACAAGCTTTCTTCTCCAAAAGCTTGTCTAACATCTCTTTCAACTATATAATTGGTCCAGTAGAATATATTACCAAACAAACCTTGCTAGAATACTTTTTTTGCTGATGTATATATTCTTTAAGCATTATTTTATTATTCATTATTAGTTTTTCCCTGTAATTTCCTCAGTATATATTTAAGAAAAACATCACAATACTGTAGCACTTTTCTTAACTCTCTAAACCGAATCACTTTGCTAGATATGCTAACTTTACATCTTAAACTAAGGGAGTTACGGGAAACCAAAAATGAACTTCTCCAGAGATCTTAGGGCACAATGATCTGCAGTACTGTGGAGTTTGAAAACACTACACCCCAGATTTGCACAGCTCCGTTTCACTCAAAAAAACCTAACAGAAGTTATTTAAAAGACATAATAGACAAAAGCAACATTTCAAATTATGTGTGGGTAGGATTTTCAAATATGCGATAATGATTTAGAAGCATTGTGAATCTGTGCTCCTAAACTACTTATGTGCCTTTGAAAATCCCTCCTCATAAATATATAATTTGTGTGTGTATCTATCTATATACAGTATATAGTAACATAGAAATATATATGTGTGTGTGTGTATGTCTATATATATCTCTGTATCACGATATAGAGATATATATAGATGTATACATGTGTCATAGAATCAATGAGTCAGAAGGGACCTAGACAGATCGAGTCTGACCCCCCGCCGTGGGCACGAAGGAGCACTGGGGGGTGGGAAGGGTCATAAGACCCCAGCCAGGTGCCTGTCCAGTCTCCTCTTGAAGATTTCCAGGGAAGGTGAGAGCACCACCTCTCTGGGAAGCCTCTTCCAGGCTCTGGCCACCCTTACAGTGAAGTAGTTCTTCCTAATATCCAACCTAAACCTATCCTCCCTCAGCTTGTGGCCATTGTTCCTGGTGACTCCAAGGGGGGCCCTGGTGAACAGACTTTCCCCGAGTCCCTACTGCTGGCCCCTGACAAGGTTGTAGGCAGCCACAAGATCCCCCTTCAGTCTCCTCTTGTGGAGGCTGAACAGGTTCAGGTCCCGTAGTCTCCCCTCATAGGGCCTGTCCTGCAGTCCCCTGAACATGCAAGTGGCCTCCTCTGGACCCTCTCCAGGTTCTCCACATCCCTCTTGAAGTGCGGCGCCCAGAACTGGACACAGTACTCCAGCTGCGGCCTGACCAGCGTCGCACAGAGGGGGAGCAAGACCTCTCTGGACCTGTTAGTGATGCCCCTGTTGATGCATGACAGGGTGCGGTTGGCTCTGCCTATTGCTTCATCACATTGGCGACTCATATTCATCCTGGAGTCAATCATGACTCCAAGATCTCTCTCTGCCACTGTGCTGCTGAGAGGGTCAGCCCCTAACCTATAACCATAATGCTGGTTCCCTCTCCCCAGGTGCAGCACTCTGCTCTTGTCCTTGTTGAACCGCATCCTCTTCAGATCCGCCCACTTCTCTAACCTATGCAGGTCTGCCTGGATGTGGTCCCTGCCTGCCGGTGTATTCACTTTACCCTACAGCTTGGTGTCATCAGCAAACTTAAACAGGGTGCTCTCCACACCCTAGTCCAAGTCGCTAATGAAAATGTTGAACAGCACCGGCCCAAGGACCGAGCCCTATGTGTGTGTATCTATCTATATACAGTATATAGTAACACAGAAATATATGTGTGTGTGTATATATATCGTGATATAGAGAAATGTATAGATACACACATATCAGTTATTAAAAACAGTGATTTATAGTGAGAGTGTACTTTTAACACTAACTTAGCTTTTGCTATTATATGTACTGAAACCACAATGCATTTTTCTAATCTCCAAAATACAAACAGGTTAGATTAGGTATTAAAAATAATAGATGCATGATAGATGAGACAATTAGGTTACAAGAATCTTTCTGAAGTAAAACCTAGAAGTAAAGAAAAGTACTAATAATGCTGTGTAATTACCATTTGAGAGTTCTGGGGGTTGTCTTGGAATCCTTCAGGCTTCTCCCACTGGGATTCTTAGAACAAAAATATTTCATTTATCAATTATTTTTGCCCATTTTTATTATTAACCTTTCCAAGAAATAGTTAAAAGAGTATAATGCAGATGTGTACACACACACGCATGAGTAATACATGTACTGTACATCTAGAAAAAATTACGTTAGATAAGATTGTGATACTCTTACCCATACTGAATAGTAAACCAAGAGCAGTCCCAATGAAGTGTATAAGACTAGTTGTGGAGTAACAGCATGAGAACCTGCCCTGTTAAGTCTTCCAAATTGCTATTACAGTGATTCCCAAACTTTTTTAGGTTGCCTAAACCTTTTAAATTTGTTACAGTTTTCATTGCACTTCAGGGATAAAGAAAAAGTAATGCTATCTTGCCATAACAAAACAAGCAAGCCCTCCAACAACCTAGGAAATTCTGCAGAGTTGTTCTTCATTTTTTCTTTTACTTCCTACCCTCTCCCCATCCGTTCCTTCAACCTGCTAGAAGTTCACTACACAACCACAGGGATAACATGTACCCTAGTTCAAAAAACAATGTTCTGTTACATTATGATTGATATGTAGTTATTACAGTTATGGTAATTTAGGATATTTTCTTTTGAGAGCACAGGCCAGCTGAAACTGAAAAACAGATCAATCAGAAAGCATGCAGAAGGTCACCAATGCCAGTCCCTGCAATTGCAAGAAATAGTTTGTAATACACTTACTGAGTCATAACAGAGGATCTCTCCAAAGCTCTAACGCAGAACTGTCCAACTATTGAATGGCCGGGGGCCACAGCCCCAGATTCACACCTTGGGGCCACATGTGGCCCATGGACCACCAACTGGACAGCCCTACTTTAAGGCAAACAACAGCTACAAATACTAAATTCAAAACCAAAAAAACCCATTAAAATCCTATCAACATGTTACACCTAACCCCGCCCCCCCAATGTGGCAATCTTGCAAATGTAAACATGAAACACAATAATCAAAAGATCTAATCTCATCCACTCAATATACTATTTATGCTCCAAAAATTTTCTACTACGTAGATGAATCCTGATATTGGGGATTCCAATTATCTGTTGGGAGAACAAAAAAATCCTTTCTGTGCATTTAAACTTTGTAGAGGTTAAGAATTTCTAAGAGTGTCCATGATTTCTGCCACTACTTCTTTATTAATAACAAATATCAATAAGGCCCAGCTTAAATTCTGGATTTTTTCACATAATTATAAGATTAATTAATTTATTCTATCAAGACTGTTTAAAACATGGGTAACTGTTAATTATCTATAAACATCAGAAGAAAAGAATAAGGAAATATAGAGAATTCCATTTTAGACAAAATAGTTGCATCTGGCCCATACTCACCTCCTGTAATTGTATTGTAGTAATATGTGTAACCCTCAGGAGAAAATCCTCGTACCCACTCCTTTGTTTCTCCTGATGACATTTTTGAGGTGACTCCTTTCTTTTTTTTCTTTTCCTTCTTTTCTTTCTTTTCCACTTGTTTAGTTTGTGTGGAGCTGGGACCTATGGACTCTTAAAGAAACCAACACCCTCTTTAAAGAGTAATTATCAGAATTTACATACTGCATATTGAGCATTCTGCATGCAGCAGATAGTTGTTAGTTCAAAACAGTTTCTTCTTTCACAGTATTACATTAAAGAAGTCTTTCATTTTTAGCAAGATTTTACTATTGCAAGGCAGTTTGATTATACTCATGAGAAACCAGTAGTGTAACTAGGGACAGGAAAGCGGGGCACGAGCCCCGGGTGCCAACTTGGAAGGGGTGTTGGAATGGCAGCTCCCATACAGGAGTCTTTGCTGCTGCAACAGTAGCTCCACCCTATCAGCAACAGTATCTGAGTGCCTGAAGAAAGCAACATGGCAGCAGCAGTCTTTGAGTCCTCAGGGCAGGTAAGACTGACACCTCTTTCCCCTCATCTCCAACCCCACCTCCAGCAGGGTTTTGCCCAGAGCACAGAACTTGTTACTTATATCTCTAAAGAAACACACATGCAAAAAAAAAAAAAAATTAAATTGAAGGACTGCTTCAGGCCTATTGAACCCTGGGTCTGTAGAGGCTGGAAGAGTTATAAAGGAGAAAGTCTCCACTGGGACCTCACCCTAACAAGAAACGCACTTACTAATCTGTAAGAGGCGAAGAAGATTTGATGAAAAAAATTGGCTCGAAGTTGACTGGTGATTGAAAGCTCCACTATTCGCAAGGGACTTTGCTTCTACTGGCAAAAGCTGAACACATGCTAAACCACTGCATGCTATGTCATTGGGCTGTAGTGCTTAGAAGATGTAATATCGTTAATACTTAGGCAATTTTTGTTACCATTTTTTTTTAATTTCAACTCTGAAAATGGATTGTCAAAAAAGTTGGAAAGTATGATGATAAATGCATCTGAGCTCTATTTGTACTTCAGTTTCGACTAGTGGTAAATTATAAATCTTTGTTCCAGTGGGGAGACAGTCCTACAGTTCCTGCAAAAGTAGTTAAAAAATATACTACTCTATGGGCATGTCTACATGTTGCCATATGATGACACTGCTACAGTGCCATGCTTTAGTACTTCCTTTTGGAAGTACTAAAGCACAGCACAGTAGGGGTGGTTATTGCACCATGCATATGGTGCATGGTTAAATTTCATTGCTATGTCGCTGTAGCGCAGAGGTGGGCAATTATTTTGGGCGAAGGGCCACTTACTGAGTTTTGGCGACTCATCAAGGGTTGCATGACAGGCAGCCAGGGGCAGATAACTATTACTTTTCTAAATTTTTTAGGGGCCCTGTGGGCTGGATAGAATGGCCTGGCGGGCCACATCTGGCCCACATTTGGCTTACCCCTGCCATAGTGGCATGCTATAACCGGGGAGCTTGCTGCAATATTGCCGTAGCTGGCAATCACGTGTAGACCCACGTGATCACTATGTCCCTGTACCATGTCATACAGTGATGTACTGCATCACTACATTGCCACAGCACAATGTATAGATGCGCCCAACATTCCTTTTCTCCTACTTAAACTTGTTAGCAGCTATAAGAACTACCTGGCTTAACTCCAAGCCTCTTTAAATCTTCTTCATATGCTTTCAGTGCAGCTTCCTCCATTGCTGCAAATTCCTTTGACATTTTTTCTTCTTCTTGTGCCTTTTCCAAACTTTTCTTTTTAATCTGCAAATGAAGAAAAAAAAAAAGTGAAGGCCATAACAAAAGAAATAAAAGTTAAATCCTTAGGGAAACAAGGAGAAATTCAAAATGTACCTCACTAATTCTCTTTGCCACATTTTCCTTATGGTTCTTTCCCCTTTCATGAAATTCAATGCTCTTCAAGAGAAAAAAAAAGTAAGTTAAAATATAAATTAAGAAAAAGTAATTTACATAAGCCAGTGTTACATTTGTAACCTATACCTATGCCTATGCAAGAAAGAAATGGTGAACTTGAAGTTAAGACTGAGCACATCTAACCTAATTTAGAAGTAAAATTTGTTACAAACATACCATAGTTATAATAAAATTCCAAACATTTAAAATTTAGGAAATTCAAATTTTAACATATAAGAAATCCCAGTGATAGCTAGTATGAAAATTAAATTACTCTAAATCTAGCATTGTGATATCTGATATTCAGTAGGTCACAAGGATTCCAACTTCAAAATTGTCTTTTTCTGGGATTTTTAAATAAAGAATAAAACACTTATGCATATTACAAACAGTTGTTTAGTTTGGGAATTATACATGTTGTGGTTTTCCAGCTTCCAGGCTTCATACCTTTATTCCTGCTCCTCCTTTTCAGGTTTGCATTCCTAAGCCTTTCAAAGTTCACAACACACTTTAATTGAATAGTGACTACAGTACTCAGGCAGGTTCTGGTAAGGCCTACAGAGCACCAGAGGACCTAAGGCTAGGGACAGAAGTTACACACAAAACCAGTTTAAGTGATCTGAAACTGGTTTAAACCTGTAACAGAACAGAAGTTCAGTGCACACAAACCAGTTTCAAAATGGCAAAACCAGTTTAAGATAAACCTGGCTGGATGCAGTATCAGACTTAATTGATTTAGGTTAAACTGGTACATGGAACTTCTGTCCCAGATCCTTTTCCAATTCAAGTTAACTCACAGTCCCCCGCATCCCAGAATGCTTTGCAGCCCCGGGCTGTGCTGTCTGCTCCATCAAAGAGCTGAGGCACTAAAGCAGGGGTAGGCAATTATTTTGGGCAGAGGGCTGCTTTCTGAGTTTTGGCAAGCCATCAAGGGCTGCATGACAGGCAGCTCAGGGCAGATAAATATTAATTTTCTAAATTTTTTAGGGGCCCCATGGGCCAGATAGAATAGCCTGGTGGGCCACACCCAGCCCCCGGGCCACATTTTGCCCACCCCTGCACTAAAGCCTCTGCTCCCTCCCAGCACCTGTCAGCCCAGTGGGATGGGAGGGCAAGGGAACCCCAAGCCCCCATTTGTACAGGAGAAGGGGAAGGAAAGCCCCAGCAGTGGGGGCTTCTAGCCCGTGCACCAGCCAGACAAACAGAGTTGGCATCAGCTCAGCCTCACCCCCTCTCCAGCCGCACACGTGTGCGGAGGGATGGAGCAGGGGGAACACACTAACTTGGCCCTGGCCCCATAGTGCAGGGGGAAGCCCTCACTGTAAGCTTTTTGTTGCTCCACAGCCTCGGCTCGTCCCCCGTAACCTGTGAGGGAAACAGGGGGTGGGATGCACAGGTCCAGCCTGGCACTGGGCTCCCACAGCTAGAGTCTGCCAGGCACGGAGTGGGGGAAGACCCCACTGGGGGCTTTTCTCTCCTGCATCCTGTCTCGCTGATCCTCACCTGGCTCACCAGCTGCAGGATTACAAAAGGACCCCATTAGGGGCTTTCACTGCCCCATGCTGCTCATGCCAGGCCAGACCAGTGCGCTCCCTCCTCACCCTAGCCTCAGGTGGGGGGCCAGGGAGGGGGGAGGAACTAAACCCATGCCAGTTCAGCAAACTGGGCTGCAGGGGAGTGAAGAACCTTTGATGGGGGCTTCCCCACTGTGCACCAGGCAGAATCTGGCTGGGGTGAGGGGCAGTGCCCGGCTGGACCAGTGCATTCCCCTCCCTAGCCCCAACTTCTCACAGGCAGGGGCTGGGGAGGGGGCAGGGCTGAGCTGATCCCAGCCTGGTAAGTTTGGCTGCAGGGAAGCACAAAGGCTCTGGTGGGGACTGCCTACCACTGCATCTGGTAGACACTCACTGGAGGGGGACCAGCGCCTGGCTAGGCAGGTGAGTTTTCCCTCTACCTCTCACAGGCAGAGGATGGGAGAGGGTGGGGTTGAACTGATCCCAGCTCAGTGAGCTGGGCTGCGAGGGACCAGAAAACCCCTGGTTGAGGACCAGGCAGGGGGTGGTGCTGGGTGTGTGCATACCCCCCAACTCTCACAGGTGGAAGCTGGGGAGGGGGTGAGGCTGAGTCAATTGGAGCCCTACTAGCCAGGCTGGGCAGGGGCAGTGAAAAGCCCTCCAAGTGGAAGCTTTCCTGTGCCAGGCAGATCCCAGCTGGGGGGCCAGGGTCAGGGGGTGGAGTCCCACTCCACATCTCCCACTCAGAGACTGGGGTTGGCGATTTTTCTGCTGGCTCTCCCCTCCCTTCAGCTGACAGTAGGAGGGGTGTGGGGTGGTAGGAGACAATCAGACCTGGGCTGCCACTGGGCTGGGTTTAGCAGCCTTAGGCAGCTGGCCATGACAGTGGGGGGCCCTGGAGAATATGCATAAGCACCTCCAGGCCTGGACCAGTGCAGGCTTCTGCTTGTCTTGGCCACCCAAACACTGAACATCAGTTCAGTTTGTTATTGGTTCAAGCTATGTAGCTTAGACTAACCTGTGAAGATTGAATCGATTCTGCCTTGGGCTTTTTGAACCTTGGTACTTATCCTAAAAGTTTGCAGGTACATAAATCTGAGGCTTGGAGCAGAAATCGACATTGGGAGTGGGAAACGGATAACTGGAATGCCTTGAAGTCAAAAGGCTTCTGGGATAGACTGGGACTATGGTAGTCTGAAAAAGTTGAGCAGCTCTGCATATTCATGGAGATGGATGTAGTAGAAAAGCCCTGAGAAACCTGGGAGTTCCTGGGGTTGTAGGAATCAAGTAACACTGTAGGTGCTGGTGCACTTGCTCCAACACAAAGGCTCTAAAGTGGTTCTGGGTATTTCTGCACACATAGCACCAGGTACAAGCTCACAATGCAGATTTGGCATTCAGTGCTTGGAGCACTAACTTTAGGAGGACTGCTAAAAGCAAGCAACCCACCCAACTGTGGGCCTGCAGTTTCTGTTGAGGTGAGGTTGAGAGCCAGCCCTGTACACTTTTAGAAGATCTGCTGGTAGGCAAAGCTCCTATGTGGAAATTCAAATTAGGGAGCCTGAAAGAACAGGACTAGATCCTCTAGTCCTTATTCACATGGATAAGGAAAGTAGGATCAAATTCTAGAGCTGGAGTCCTACACTGAGAACCAGAGAAGCATCCACAACCTTAACTTTCATAGATTTCATAGACATTAGTGCTAGAAGGGACCTCGGACGATCATCGAGTCCAACCCCCGCCCAAAGGGCAGGAAGTCAGCTGGGGTCATAGGATCCCAGCAAGATAAGCATCCAATTTGCTCTTGAAGGTGTTCAATCTAGGTGCTTGAACCACCTCCGATGGCAGGCTGTTCCAGACCTTGGGGGCTCGGACAGTAAAGAAATTCTTCCTTAAGTCCAGCCTGAAACGGTCGTGTAGTAATTTAAGACCATTCGACCTCGTCATCCCTTGGGGTGCTCTGGTGAGCAAATGTTCCCCCAGATGCTGGTGGTCACCCCCAATAAACTTACAGGTGTCCATCAAATCACCCCTAAGCCTACGCTCTTCCAGGCTAAAGAGCCCCATGGCTCTCAGCCTGTTGTCGTAAGGTCTGTTTTGCTGACCTCTGATCATGCGCGTGGCTCTTCTCTGGACTCTCTCAAGCTTCTCCACATCCTTTTTGAATTGTGGAGCCCAAAACTGGATGCAGTACTCCAGCTGTGGCCTCACCAAGGCCAAGTACAAGGGGAGACTGACGTCCCGGGATTTGCTTGAGAAGCATCTATGGATGCAAGCCAGCATTTTGGTCACTTGCAATCAACTTGAAAGTCTTCTAATTTTTCCTAGTGCAAGGGTTAATGCTTGCAACATTATCTTTAGGACAAACAAATGAAGTTTTCACACCATAATAAACTGAACGTTATTTAAAATTTCTTCCTGGACTTCCAGAAGGCTTTTGACACTGTCTCTTACCCCGTTCTCATTAAGAAAATGGGAGGCTCTGGCGTAGACACCCACACAGTCAAATGGGTCACCAACTGGCTGGAGGGCCGCACCCAGAGGGTGGTAGTGGATGGGTCCTTCTCAACTTGGAAGGACGTGGGCAGTGGGGTTCCA